TGAAAGCACCCTAGAGAGTCACATACCAGAGAGAAGACAAAATCCCAAAAAACAAAAAATCACTCTCATGATTTTTAACTTAGTTGTGATTTTTGGGGGACTCTTGACTTGGGATTTTTGAATGCTTGAGGTTAGCTGTACAGGTGCTCCAGATGCTCTGCTAGGATGGGAGGGAATTTTTCATGTGCTGCTTGCATCCCAGATACAGAAAGCAAACTGCTATTTCTGTGTGGTAAGGAGTATGGTGAATATTTCTACTGCTCCAGTCTCTTCTGTTTGTGAATCTTGATTTTTGGGGTTGTCTGCAGCTGCACATGTTGAAGCTGTTCTGTACCAGCCTTCTGTGCATCAGTGTCTGAGTCGGAAGACCCTGGCAGCAGGATATGGACGGTGGAAATCTTGCCTCAGTTGTTCAAGCTGTGCAGCTTGGCCTTGCAGAAAGCTGGTCGACTCTATCTCGGATGAGTACAGCACTGCTCTGCAGAGCACACCATTAAATAAACCGATTGTGCCAGCAGGGTTGGCAACTGTTGTTCACTACCGGGTCTGACAGCACTCTGAAGAGTGCATTTGACTTCCTGAGCATTTTTTGATGTACATGGGCCAGCTATCTTAAACTCTCCAAAAGGCCAGTTTTTGGTGTGCTCCTACTAATCACATGCCCGTAGCCTATCATGGCTGTATAGGTTAGGCAGCTGCTAATATCTGTGACTTTCCTTGTCTAGATAGTGACTAAGTTCTGGCAGCCTGCTCAGGAATGCATTGCAGCATGGACGTACCTAAACTAGCTAGCTGACATACTGGTACTCATCTAGCCAGGGCAGAGCAGAGCTGAGGATGGGCTGCTCATCTATCTACCTCACTGCTTGTGTATGTTGTGTAGCCTGTGCGGAGCTTTGTGTTGTCATGGCTAAACCACTGCCCATACCAAAGCTGGCTAATTAAGAGGTCTGTACTGTGTTGCAGTAGACCTGTTCTCTAAGTAACTTACCCAACACCCTTATGTTCATGACACCTGTGACTGCATTTAATTTATTCAAGTTGTTTCCTTCTGGGCAAACAACTAAAGGTTTAACAGGAAAAGAAAAGATTATATGTTGGAGTTCCCAGGCATGGGAGGGAAGTGCATAAAAGTGTGTGAGAAGGTAATGCTTAAACTTGAAAGCAGGCTTCATCTACAATTTAGCGTTCTCTTTATCACCATAGAAATAAATATATGGTACCAGTGTTTAATATACTTATTTTTAGAGTCCATAAATTCCTTTGCTTTTTAAGGCCTATAAGGCTTTGAGAGAGGAGGCATAAAAGAAAACTGTTGCTATATGTCAGAGAAAGCATAGGTTCACCTTTGGGAAATAGTGCGAGTGAGAATAAGGAAAGAAATAGATATCTGAAAAAATCTGTAGTACACAGACTACTGATTCCAAGATATGGTCCGTCCGTCCATCTCACCCCCCTTTTGCAGAGTCTACAATACTGTCATGTTACCTATAAATAATTCTTTCCTGAAAACAATATAGATAGCCTTAATTTTTTTTTTAATTTTACAAAGGAAACAACAACCACCTGGTTCATAATTTACCCAGATGAAATGCTTCATAAAATTTTACCTTAATTGTGAATTATAAACCCACTGCTAATCTACTAATCAATATTGATGTGTGTAGCACAACTGTTATTCATACCAAATTTGTAGAGAGAACACTATTCTTTTTCCCAATTTATAAAACAGCAATGATGACAGTTGCCTTCCCTTAGCAGTATTTTTTTCATTTGTCACACTCAAATGCTTAGAGCTTTGTAGTAATAAAAATACTGCCCTGGTGGTTGTGTCACGGTCCATCGTTTGGAGGAGCATAGTAGAGGCAGCCTCACTATATACATACTAGGACAAGTTTCTGCTCATCTAACTAATCTTGATAGGCATGTGCACCCTACTAACCCATATCCAGAGGGCTTGATGCTGGGATTAAACATTGCAAACGTTTCTGAATGTAGAACCAAAACGTGAAAATTGGAGCATTGTTTCAATTAAACATTACAATGAAACAACTGCTGTACAACCTAGCATTTAAAAGCAAAGCTATGTTCTGATATAAATAATTTTTTGCTTTGTTTTGACATTTAAAAAAAATGTTTTCAAGCATATTCTTGGCTTTGCACTGTCTCCTTTGTTTAGTAGTTCACTGTGTGATTATCACTTGGTTCAGCTTCTTTTTTGGCCTCTGTAATGGTACATTTTTTATAGGATAGATCATTTATTTACCTGATTTTTTTTCCCCCTGAAATAATTTTAAAAGCATGTTTTCATAATTTAATATTTAATTTAACCAAGTTAGGGTCCTAAGCTATTACAAATAATTTAACTAAATTAAAAGCCTACCAGTGCATGTTTGACTTTCTTTAAAGGCCTGGCACCCAGACACTAAAGTAGTAAAAGTCCCAAGCTAAGCATCTGGAGCCAGAATTTGTTTGAAGTGATAAAGTAGCTTTTGATAATTGTGGCCTCTGTTGCAGCAGTAGACAATTGTGTTAATTATTGTGTTCCTATGTTGTATGGGGTATGGTCTTTTCTATGATCTTTGGAGATTATGTTACCCACTCCCTTGGCTGTCATTACAGTGCCAGGGCATTGGCAGTAACCTTGTCTTCCTGTCTTAATTATTTAACGGCTCATTATATGGTTTTCTTGATTATTTTTTTTTCAGGCATCGTGCCTTCACATTATATGTTGTGAGGGTCTCAAGTGGTGATTTTTGGATATTCTTTCAGTAAATGTTTGCCTGCAAATGCAGGGGACGACTCAATGGCCCATGAGGCCCCTTCTAGCCCTATGTTCCCAGTTCAGTAATTAGCTGACGGATGGAAAAGTAGGCAAGCTTGTTTTTCCTTTTGCAATCTATAAATTAAAATGACGAGTAAGAATATAGGTTTCTAGCTGGTTTCCAAGTCTTAAAGGATGTGTTGACTGAATGCAATCAGTTTAGTGAACCTACCCCAAATAATGCCACCTTTGTTTTGCACTCAAAATGGAGTAAACATGTTTTGCTAAACTCTTAAATTTATCTAGCACATCTAAGATTGTTATTAGCTAAGCACACCCCCTTTTTAAAAAGAAGACCTGTGTTGCCGTTCAAATACAGCTTGATTTATCAATTGTGAATAAAATAATTTAGCATTGCAGTTACAGAGAGGTGATTGGCTACTATGTGCTCAGAAATGTATTGCTCACCACTTTTTAATATAAATATAAAAATCTAAGAATAAATGTTAAGCTATGTGCGCGTATTTACACGAGATGCTTATTACGCGGTGGCCTAATAACATCACGCTGTAGCATGTCACAACAGAAACCATGCTAATAGCCTGCTGTACAGGGTTCTTAGGCTAATGCCCAGTAAGTATCACTAAATAACTGTTCACCAGCACTACTGAGCAGTAACTCTAGGTACTGTGCGTTTAGCTAGCACTTTATTAAGAAAGTACCAAACTAAATGCGCAGTATCTAAGGCACATTAACGAACGTGTAAATACACCCAGTGAGTACTTAACAAAAAGTACCAAGTGTTATTAACCAATTGGAATTTACTTTTATTTAGGAAAGAACTAAAAGAGTATAAATACAAAACGGAATACAATTGCTGATTTAAGGCAATCCTATTTGGTTCTTAAATTTTGTACTGTTGTCAGGAAGAGGTCAAATAAAACTATTGGACCACAAAGGTCTGAATACTGGTCCTAGACCATAAACCAACACCAGCACATCAATATGTATTCTTCAAATCAGTGGTGGTTTTCCTCCATCCATAGAGAAAAATAGGAAGAACTTTGTGGAGGAACCTTCATACATTACTTCTCTGGCTTCTTGCACTTCTTTTATTGTAAATTCAACTATTTTATGGGTCCTGATCATCAGCTAGTGAGAATTAGTGTAGCTCTACTTACTGCAGTGAGTTTTCTAACTGAAAATGGCAGAGGAACTGTCCCTCCTTACTGTATTACAGTAGTGCATACCAGCCTAAACTGATATTGAGGTCCGGTTTGTGTTTGGCATTTGTCTCTGTAGAAGCATACCAGTACAAATGATGCTTCCGACTCTTGGTTCCTACAGTTATTAGGTAGCACCATCAAAATGAAGAGGGTATCCTTGCCATAGATAACTCACCTCTAATAGTTTCTAGACCAAGGTGTGCCAAGAACAAAGAGTGTGGCATTTCTGCAGCGAAGTATTTTTCTCTTCTCACTGTATTAGCCATTAGGTTACTTTTTGCTTTGAGGGTTTTGGTTTTGGTTAAACCTACTACTTCATGATACCATCTTCAGTTGTTGAGAACCCTGGTCTCAACATCTGATGTCTGTTATTGGTGGCAGTCACCCTTTCCTAAAGGAGGCATGCATGTGTTGTGTTAGCTCATTACTTCATACCATGATTTCCACTTTTTATCACTAAAATCTGAGCCCAAGGTCAGTTAAAACTAATGGGGATAGATATGTGGTGCTTTTACCTTGTTGTCCTTGCAAAAAGGACAAATGTTTGGTCATTACTGTGTAATAGAAATTTCAACCAAGGAAAGTATCTTGTTTTAATGTGTATATAAGGGAAAATATATATTTAAAGCTTAGGTAGAAAGCTAAGAATCTTTACAACAGGAGTAGAGAAGAGGATAATTGTTCCACAGTCCTAGGCAAGTTTACAGTTTTTTTGGTATTTCCTTGGGTTTATTCTTTATACTTGTCAGGATAACTGATGAGCAGTAAAGAACACAGTAGAACAGTTATTTTTTAGAGAACTGAAATTCCACTGTTTTGAAATAAAACAAGCTTATTAGTTCTCTAATGTAAATGAAACAGATCTTAATTTTCTAACTGGTTAGTTTACTTGCATTTATGTTTTGAACATTTATTGATAAAATACCTTGTAAATCAAAAATCTTTGGATGATATCATTTGTAAAGTTTCCACGTGTAATTTCATTTTTCTTTTCTTTTTTTTTTAAACAGCAAGACCATTTACACAGTTGGTGAAGGAAATGCAACTTCATCGGGATGACTTTGAAATTATAAAAGTAATTGGAAGAGGTGCTTTTGGTGAGGTAAGACATCCTTGCACTCTGATTTAGATGCCTTGAATCAGAACTGTCCATCTTATAAGCAGCTCAGTGCCACACACCTCAGGGCTGCAGTAGCATGAGCCCTTGACTGTACCTCACCCAACTGCATTGCACAGCCCTTCTCTTCACCCCCAAGCACATGTGCACAATTGAATCCTGTGCGTGGGCAGTGCCCGTCTCTGCTCCCTCGCTGTGCCACAGACTGCCAGCGCTATGAGGTTCACTGCCCCACCTTCTGGGGCGGAAGCAGGAAGCAAAAGCTGATGGAGGGGGAGCCCAGAGACCCCAGCCACAGAAACAGGCAGAGCGATAGAGGGAGTGGCAGTCAGGTAGGAGCCTGGGGGCTGCACATGAATCCTTTAGGAACTGTATGCAGCCTGAGGGCTGCCAGTTGGACAGCCCTGCCTTAAATTAGTACTGTAACTTGTTGGTAAATTGGATACCCTGTGCATCTTATTTCTCTGTAGCTGCATGTGTCATAATAAGGGCAAAAGGTTCATATAGAAAGGTATAGCATGATATGCCATTTTAATACTGAAATCCTAGTTAAGCAGTAGTAAGAGATTTTTTGGGTGTGGATGCTGCATTTAATTGTGCATGAGTCTCATGCATGAGGTTGAAGTCTCTTTGACTAGCAGGGCTTACTGCAGGAGTGAACATGGATTTTCAACCTCCCTTTTACATAAGGATTGTGGAAGCCATGACACTAAGTCTCCTAGCCTGCTAGTGTCTAAATCGCTAGTTGTTAGTTCCAGCCAAGCCTCCGCAGAACTGTCTATTAGTTGTACAACAATTTAGCTCTGCCTGTCTGTAATAATTCCTTAGGATCTAACCTTCTTGTCCAGGACAGTTCAGTCATTTCCACCGCATGACAGCCTTTAAACCTTCAAGCATCTTAACCCCCTTGTATGCTGTGGTTTTCAACCATAGTAGGTGCCTTTTCTGCTTAGGCAAGAGTCATGACTCGTGGGAGAGTTGGGATGCCAAACCGAAACCTTGCTTATAGAGCAGTTAAGGAAATTCTCTTTGTCCCAGTGGTATGTTGCACCTGGTGGAATTCTCAAGCATCGGAGGAAATTCTAGCCTGAGTTCAGTTCCTTCCTATAGAAGAAACTTGTAAAAAAAGTACTTTGGGGAGGTGGGATGAAATCAGAAGCTCCACATCTACATGCAAGGGTAGTGACAAGGAGCTATTTATCATCATGGCATCAACCATGCAACTTTAGGCAGGGGCTGCAACAGTTACAATCACTCACCTCAAGGATTCCAGCCCCATACTGGAAACTACCCTGTCACTACTTCTTTGTCATCGTGTCTCCAGTCTAACCTTTCTGTATGGTCTGTTACCAATATTCTGCACAAGCCACTGCTTCCGGTATTGGTGGTGGTGTTGCCAGATCTTGTGGGGTGCATTGTGGTGCTACAGGGCATCTCAAGAAATGACCCGGATACTGAGACAACCACTGGTATATCCCAGTACATAGCCCCATATGCTTTGACACCAGGTTTAGAGGAAGGTGTTTTTTGTACTTTCTCATGTGATGTGTTCTTTATGTTTCCTCTCTTCCCTGAGTTCAGCTGGATAAATCTAGCTTCATAGCAACAGAATTGAGGCTTGCTTTGCTTTGCCTGCTGTATTTTTGTGGAAGGACACTTCATCCTTTCTGACTCAGTGAGTGCTGCTTTGCTTTCTTTGAGGAATAGATCCCTGTGTCTCTTTAAATAGGAGTTTACATTCCCAGATGACATCTCTGGTCAGGCCCAACAGAATGCCAACGGGTGAGGTGGGGGTGTCTTTGTCACTGGATAATACAATAACACCTACCACCAGATAATGTTAAGAAATTGCAAGAACTGTTTCTGAGAATAGCACAAACTGCAGACACCATTTTTTCAAGAAAAATCTGTTGTTCAGTACACTGATGAGATTGGACGTGGAAAGGATCATTTTAGATAAATGTGGGGTGGTTCAACCTTAGGCCAAAGCACTGTAATAAATGTCTGCCATTATTCCAACTAAAGCAAAAAGAAAATAAAACTGCCATCAAACCCTTTAAAAAGGTTATGCATATCTTTAAATCCATTCCAGTCCAAGATCAGCAGTACAGGAACAGTTCAAGTCTACCTAAAGCATTCCAAAAGAGGACCCAGCAAGGGTCTCTGAGAGAAAAGGCTGCTCTTCTACTTCTTTCCACCTATGAATGGTAAACTGCTACGCCTTGCTGGCTAAGTACTATTTCTTTTTAACTTGACAGTGATATCACTGTTTCCCAAACTGTTTAAACAAGAATGAATTCAAAAGTTAAGGAGGGCCAGTTAATGATAGGATGGCCTTGTAAATAGCCATGAGTAGATACATAGGGTGTCAAGGCTGCTACAGACAACCTGGTAGGGAAGGTGATGTGGAATGCTTCGTGGCTTTGGTGTGTCATGAACGGTTAACCATGATAGCTTTAATCTGCAAAACCATGATAGCTTTAATCTGAAAAACAGACAAGACAATCTTCTACATACCCTGAAGATTTTAAAAGCTACCTGGTTTTCACTCGGAGCCAGTCAAGCCAGTTCAAAGTACATACCTTGGGATTCTGTCTTGTCGTATTCCATTGGGTACAAGACAGAGAGCTGCTAGAGACCATTGTCTCTGGCTCTTCTAATGCATTTCCACTCCTTAACCCCTAGTTACCCCTCTCTCTTTAGTCTTCTTACTGGAACTAGAAGGATGTAGTCTTTCTGGACTTCAGCAAGGCCTTTGATACCGTCTCTCACCCCATCCTAATTAGTAAACTAGGCGACTGTGGCATAGACGCCTACATGGTCAGATGGATTGCAGATTGGCTGAAGGGTCGCACTCAGAGGGTGGTGGTGGATGGATCATACTCGACTTGTGGGGAGGTGGGTAGTGGAGTCCCCCAGGGCTCGGTCCTGGGGCCTGCGCTGTTCAATTTCTTCATCAGCGATCTTGATGTTGGGGTGGAAAGCAACCTGTTTAAATTCGCTGATGACACCAAAATTTGGGGGGAGGTGAGCACGCTAGCAGGGAGAGAGAGATTGCAGAAGGATCTGGATAGGTTACAGGGGTGGGCAGACAGGAACAGGATGCGTTTCAATACGGACAAGTGCAGGGTGCTGCACTTGGGTAGTAGGAACCAGCAGCACACTTATACGATGGGGAACTCCCTACTTGAGAGCACGGAGGCGGAAAGGGATCTTGGTGTCATTATTGACTCCAAGATGAACATGGGCAGACAATGTGAGGTCATGGTTGGCAGGGCTAACCGGACCTTGTCGTGCATCCACAGGTGCATCTCGAGTAGAGCCAGGGAGGTGATCCTCCCCCTCTATGCAACGCTGGTCAGGCCGCAGCTGGAGTATTGTGTCCAGTTCTGTGCTCCCCATTTCAGGAGGGATGTGGACAACATGGAGAGGGTCCAGAGGAGGGCCACCCACATGATCCGGGGACAACAGGGCAGACCCTACAGTGAGAGACTGCGGGACTTGAACCTATTCAGCCTCCACAAGAGAAGGCTGAGGGGGGACCTGGTGACCGTCTATAAACTCACTAGGGGGAACCAGAAGGGTTTGGGGGAGACGCTGTTTCCCCTAGCCCCCGCTGGCATAACAAGGAGTAATGGGCACAAGTTGATGGAGAGCAGGTACAGATTGGACATCTGGAAAAACTACTTCACAGTTAGGGCGGCTAGGAGCTGGAACCAACTTCCAAGGGAGGTGGTGCTGGCCCCTACCCTGGGGATCTTTAAGAAGAGGCTGGATACTTACCTGGCTGGACTCATTTGAGTCCCGTTTTTGTTTTTAGGGTGAGTTTTTTTTTTTTTTGGGTTGTTCTCCCGCCCTGGCGGGGGGGCGGGCTAGAAGATCTATTAGGTCCCTTCCGACCCTGAAACTATGAAACCTATTAAAACAGAAGATGGTTTCACTCTTGGCATCTCTGAAGAAAGGGTTTTTAATCCTATTTTAGACATGAGGCTACTAGAGAAAGTGTTTGTCTCTGTCATTCCTTTTTTTTCCAAGTGCAAAGCTTGTTCGGGGCCTTCTGCTTACCAAATGTATGTTTTCTGTTTTGTTACTCATCTGTCTAGTCCACAGGGAGCACTTGGGATTCACAGTGAGACTCAATCATTGCCAAAATTAAGGTACTGCTATTTGGACTCTTCGCAACAGTAGGAGTTCTCATGAAATGCATAGATAGCTAGCACATTTCAGAGATGCTTCATTCCTCCCTATACCTACTTACCCTAGAGGCATCAGATATCTAGCCTAGTGGCTGGATCCAGCCCATGGGCTGTGGGGCTTGTGGGCTGGAGCCCCTGCAGTGTGGATGCTAAGCCCTGCAGCTTTGGAAACAAGGGCATTAATATTGGTTGCCTCTCTTCACTGCCCCTTTTACGTGCCACCAAAATCAGCCCTGGTGATTGAAATCAGTGGCAGGGGAAGAGGGGGCAGATGGCAGCAGCATTACCTCCCTAGGTTCCAAAGTCAAACCAAAACAGCAGGTCCAGTGGCTGCAGCAGTTTAACACTGCAGTTGCTGCCTATGGTCTGGATCTGGGCTGTGGGGAATCCCCATGATCTGAATCTGACCCATGGGGGCCCAACAAGTTTGACAACCCCAGGTCCAGACAACTGTCAAACGGGACTCCAGCAGCCCTCGAGAACAGCCTGTCATTGCTAACTTAGCTAGGACTTCTTGGGAAATGCAAAATAGTTTTTCTCATTATAAAAAATTAGACTCTGTTAAAGTGTTAGTAGACTCAGTCTGCAAATAGCAACTTCCACAGGATGGTTTCTAGTTTCTCCAGTTCATAATAAATGACCCAAAGTCATGTCCCACTATATTGATGCATACTGGCTTTGAATTACTAGCTCAAGTGACTTTGCCTGCGGTCCCTGTAATTCCAATCCGAACACAACATAGAGGAGGGCTGCACTCCTTTTTCAAGTTGTAAGAGAGCTGAGTTTTGC